AAATTTTTCCTACTCTTAACCTCTGTTGTTCCTAGAATTCATTCTTCGATTTTAGAGACTGCAAACTCAGACTTCGGATATCTAGCAGTTTGGGAGTTACACCTATCCCCCCTGTATCAGTAGCACCTTAGATAAAAACAAGTACCTTACCACAAGGGCCTTAGCTTGGCCTACTCGTACCTGAATTCTACACTCGTGGCTGGCTATGCCAAAAATGTCATTGGGCAGTTGCTCCGGAAATCGCCTGCCAATTAAAAGTATTTCAGGTCCTTCTTGCCTCCGACACAGAATTGAACGAGCCAAGCCAAAAGCTGGGCCAAAAGTTATTTGAAAAGTGAAGAATAGAGGGTGAAGGAGCTTCCTCTTTTTAACCCCCTGTGTAACGGGGGGCGGGGGACAACCCAAAATGACGGTATATCCATACGATGGAATGTCAGCCTTCAAAAGAGAGGAAACTCTGGACAAACCTTGAAGAGATTACACTTACTGAAATAACCAGTCACAAGAAGTCAAACACTGTGACTTCAGCTGGGGATTTAGCTCAGCGGTTCCGACGCCTGCCTTGCAAGCACAAGGTCCCAAGTTCAATCCAGTGGGGTGGGAAAAATGCTGCGACTTGATTTCATGAGGTACCCGTAGTAGTTAAATCAGCAAACATATACAGGTGTTTGCCAGGGGCTGGGGCTGAGAGGAATCAGGAATTGGTGTTTGATGGTACAGAATTTTAGTTTGGAAACCTCAAAGTTCTGGAGACTGGTAATGGCGAAACTTGAATTTTAATTAATAGCTATAACTATTTAAAATTGTGCTGGCATTGAGGCCATACTCTTTTTTGTGGTTGTTTTTTTGTTTTGGTGCCAGGGATCAAACTTGGGTCCTTGCACTTGCAAGGCAGGCGTTGGAACCAATGAGCTAAATGCCCAGCCCTGAGCCATACTCTTAAGTGAAATAAATAGAACACACTTGAGTAAATACTGAATAGTTTCTCTGGTGTGAAAAACTAAAAGTGTAAATAAGATTCAAGTGTTGTAACTGTTAATGTGAAATAGGAAGAAGAGGTCTAAAGGGGAAGGGGAAAAGGAAAGGAAAAAAGGGGAAAAGGAAATAAGGGGGAAAAAGGAAAACATGGAAACAAAGTTTTTGTAAATAGGGAAGGGTGAAGGGGGTGAAGGGAGGGCAGGGGAAAGGGGAAAAAATAAGAACCAAGATACATCATGTAAGGGTACAAGATCCCGATGATGAAAGTAACTGTATTGTTTACCTTAAATGTACCGATAAACTTAATGGAAAATAAAATAAAATTTGTGCTGCTCCTGCCACTCTTGCCGCTGCTGCTGGGTGTCATGACGTGTGTCTATAGTCCCAGCACTTGGGAGGCTGAAGCAGGAGGATCACCAGGAGTTCAAGGACTGTCTGAGCTACACAGTGAGTTCAAAGCCAGCCTGAACTATATAGTGAGACTCTGTCTCCAAAATAAATAAACAAAATAAAATAAAATTTGTGCTGGGCATGGCGTTACACACTTGCAATCCTAGCACTCACAAGGCTGAGGCAGGAGAATCACCATGAGTATGAGGCCAATCTGGGTTATACAGTGAGATTAAGGCCAAACTACACAGTGAGACCCTCAAAAAAATAATTAAAAGTACAAATTAAAATGATTAAAACAGTAAATTTTATGTGGCATATATTTTACCACATTTTTTGGAGACAGGATCTCCCTAAGTTTCCCAGGCTGGATTCAAACCTGGGATATTCCTGCCTCAGCCTCTCAGAATGCTGGCAATATAGGTGTGTGTGCACCACAGGACCCGGCCTCACTACGATGCTTTTTTTGTTGTTTTTGTACCAGGGATTAAGCTCAGGACTTTGCACTTGCCAGGCAGGCATGGCACCACTGAGCTACATCTCCATCCACCATGTGTAGTAAGTAAAGGAGGTTTACAGAGTGCTCAATGGTACGTACTAACATGTGTGAGACCCTGGGTTCCGTCCTCAGCACCACAAAAAGAGAGAAGCCTCCAAGGACCACAGATGGGGATAATGGATTCAAAACTAGTTTGAGTGGCAGGGCTAAAAAAAAAAAATACCCACCATACGACCGGTGGGAGTGCAGACTGGTGCAACCACTGTGGAAATCAGTATGGAGATGCTCAAAGAACTAGGTTTGGGAGTCCCTTTTGACCCAGCTACTTGCCTGCTTGGTATCTTCCCTAAAGAGTTAAAAGAACCATACCATAGAGATATTTGAACACCCACGTTCATAGCAGCAACAGTCTGTAATACTAAAACTTGGAAGCAGCCCAAGTGCCCATCAACAGGAGACTGGATAAAGAAAATGTATGTGGGTTTTTTTTATACAATGGAGTACTACTCACCCATAAAGAATGAAAAACTAGAGACATTTATAGCTAAATGGATGCTCATTGGTGCAATACTCGTAAGTGAAAAAACAGAACATATGTAAATAACAAATAGTTTCTCTAGCGTGAGAAACTGAAAGGGCAAATAAGGACCAAAAGATACAATAGTTAATGTGAAATAGGAAGCAAAGGTGCCAAGGGGAAGGGGAAGTGGGAGGGGTAGGGAACAGAAAGAAGGGAATGGGATTAATATGAGAAAAAGAGAAAATGGAAAAGAAGTCTTTGTAGATAGGGAGGGGTGGAGGGGTTGGAGGGCAGGGGAGGGGGAAAAATAAGAACCCAGATGGATTATGTAAACGTGCAAATTTCCAGTGAGTGTCATAATACTGTATACCTTAAATGTACCAATAAAATTATGGTTTAAATACCCACCAAAACACAGAAGCAACTTAAAGCGCCTAGAGCTTTATTACTCATATTAGATTTACACATCAGTGCCAAGCACGGTGGTGCACACCTGTGATCCCAGCACTCAGGAGACCGAGGCAGGACTGCTGTGAGTTCAAGACCAGCCTGAACTACATAGTGAGACCCCCGTCTCAAAAACCTAAATAAATAAATAATTCACGCATCTGAAAGTTTAAAACATCTTCAATCAACTGGTAAATAAAATGTTAGATTTTTCAGTTAGTACTAAATTAGATGTTGCATCAAGGAATTCATCATAGTAAAAAAAAAAAAATTCACTACTCTTACATGGATTTAAACAATGAATGAAACACCTAATACTAAACAGCTTTTCCGGGGGTTGCCAGGCAGGTCGAGAGGGCTGGAATCCAGGGGGCTCGATTTCCACACATCCTATCACAGCCAATCACAAACAAGAATGAATGGCTTGTTACTAGGCAGATATTAGCAGGCAGGCCAAACGCGGATGTGTACTCAGACCCTATGCACCAATGGCACCCAAGGAAAGATGGCCCTCTGAACGGAATAGCCAATAAGAAGCTCAGGTTTCTTATTGGCCAAGCAGGGCTCAAACTTGTGATCCTCCCGCCTGAGCCCCCAGAGTGCTGAGATTAAAGGCGTGCACTACCATGCCTGGGAGTTTACAGCACTTTTAGAAGTGTAAAATAAGCCTTGTGAATCAGGTGCACACCTGTAATCCTAGCACTGAGAGGCTAAGAGAACTGCTCGAGCCCAGGAGTTTGAGACCAACCTGGGCTTAACAAAGACCTTATCAAAACAGAAAAAAAAAGAGGTCTTCTCTACACTGAGTTCTGTACTTCATACATAAAGTTATACTTCTTACTTTCATACAAGTTTCTTTTATGTTTTTATTTTCACACAGGGTATGCTTCCAGAGAAGTTATAAGTGAATTCTAAGATATAATAAAAGCAGAAAAGCTCTTCGCACACCTGCCATCACAGAGCTGTCTTGTGTTGATTTCCTGTTTCCCATCGCCTGAAAGGTCTTTCCCCCATTCCTTATAACCTAAGGCTTCTCTGCACACTGGGTCAATACACAAATATCATGGTTTATGGAACATCTACAGCCTTTTCTGCATTCCTTACCATATTAGTTTCCCAGGGTTGTCATAATAAAATGGCACAGACTGGCTTAAAAGAGAATTTTATTGGCTTACACTACTTCAAGAATTTGAAAGTAGGCTGAGGGTTTAGCTCAGCCGTTCGGTGGCCTGCCTTGCAAGCGCAAGGACCTGAGTTCAATCCCCGGTACGAAAAACAAAAAGGAATTTGAAAGCACAATATCAAGTGATGGACAGGGCTGGTTTCTGTTCAACCGCTGTCCTGGTTTTTGCCAATAGTCATCTTTTGGCAAATTCGCATGGCTGTTCTCTGGGTATGCCCTTCATTCCATTTTGTCTTTTTCCCCCCAGTAGTGGGGATTTAACCCAGGGCCTTTGCATCAACCTACATCCTCACCCTGTTTTTATTTTTCAGAATCTTAGTTAATTGCCCGGACTAGGCTCCAACTTGTGATCCTCCTGCCTCAGCCTCCCAATATGTTGATCATGTGCCACCACACTCGAATTCACTTTCCCTTCTTCCAGGAACACTGATGATGCTGTATTAAAGGTTGGCTCTATCAGCCTCATTTTAATGACCTGTTGGAAGTCCAAGTACTCACACTGTGAGGAACTAGGGGTTAGAGCTTCAAAATACAAACTGAACGGCTGGGGATTTAGCTCAGTGGTTTTGCTGCCTGCCTTGCAAGCACAAGGGCCAGAGTTTGATCCCCAGTACAAAAAAATACACACACACACACACACACACACACACACACACACACACACACATATAAACTGAAGGCAGAATCACATTTATTTAAATCATACCCTTTCTCTTTAATCAGTTCATATATGCATATTAAGGTTTGTGGAATTTCCAGATTTTCTTCATATGGTTTCCCTCCACCACGGCTTCTGATATGTGACTCTAAAATTGAGCAAAATCTGGGACAGGGATTTAGCTCAGTGGTTCCGCCGCCTGCCTTGTAAGCACAAGGACCCAAGTTCGATCCCTGGTACAAAAAAAAAAAAATTTTGAGCAAAATCTTTTGCACATTTCCAACTGACACAAAATCATCTTCGCTATGAACTCTTACGTGTTTGCTAAGACCTGAGATAGGAGCACAGATGCTCCTAAATGCTTTACATTTGTAGGCTTCTCCCTCGAGTTCGTGTCTTCAAAATGAACATGACACCATTAAGCTTTCCCGCACCCCTTATACTGACAGTTTCTCTTTGGTAATATCTTTGTGTATGATTCTGAAATGAACTTAGAGAACTGAAGGCTTTCCCACACTCTTTACATTCATAGGGCTTTTCTCCAGGGTGAATCCTCAGATGTCTACGAAGATTTGAGGAAACAGCAGACGCTTTCCCACATCTGACACACTCAAAGGCTTCTCTCCAGTGTGAGTTCTCGTGTGCTCGTGCAGGCGGGAGGATCTGGTAAAGGCTTTCCCACAATCTTGACATTTGACAGGTTTTAATCCATGGTGAATTTGAAAGTGATCATGAAGGCAGGAGGTGTTTCTAAAGGATTTCCCACACACCTTACCCTCAAATGACTTTTCCACGGTGCGATCTTTCACACGTTCAGGCAATTGAGAAGATGTTGGAAAGACAGTCCCACACTCCTTACCTTCATGGGGTTGCCTCCACTATGGGCTCCCATGCGAATATTAAGGTAAGCAGAACACCTGAAGCCTTTTCCGCAGTCCTTACACCTGTAGGGTTTTTCTGTACTGGGTCTTTGCATCAGCACAGCAAGGCTGCTGGCGTGAAGGAAATCCATCCCACATCCGCTCAGCTCGCCAAGTTCGTTTCCACTGTGCATCCTCCTGTCAGTCTGAAGATGTGACGGATCAACAAAGGCCTTCCCACAGTCACTGCCTTCAGCGGGTTGGGCCTGAGTGCACCTTCTTGGGTGAAGGACAGCTCGAGGTTGGCTGAGGGCTGGTTCGCACCGATTCAACATGAAAATTTTCTCTCCAGTAGAGATCACCTTGTGCACAGGAAGGAAGTCACGCCCAGAAGTGCTCCATGTATTCTGAGTTCCCACGTGTGACTTAAAGCATGGAAGTCCACTGACAAAGTCTCCACAAGGCTCGCAATCACAGAGTTCTGCTCCACTGTGGCTTTCTGCCTGTTGATGAAAAAGGACGTGGGCCGGGAATTTAGCTGAGTCGTTCCGTCGCCTGCCTCATAAGTATAAGGTCCCGAGTTCAATCCTCGTATCAAAATAAATGAATAAATCAATAAAATAAATAAATAAAAAGGATGAATACTGACTAAAAGATGTTTTAGATTCATTAAAAGATCCCATGCATCCAAAGACAGAATTATTATGATGATTATCTCAATTTGACCATTTGTATTACATATATACAGCTCCTGTTCTGCTGATTTATTGCTTGTTTAGAGACAGAGTCTTGCTATGTTGCCCAGGCTAGCCTCAAACTCCTGGACTCGGAATCCTCCCACCTCAGCCTCCCAAGTAACTAGGTCTACAGGCACTGGTACGGCTTGTACTGAGATGCCCCCCACAAAGATTCATGAGGTCATAGGTAGGGCTTTTCGACAGTGCCTGAATCTAGGGTGTATGCTGGGATTACGGGTGTGTGACTAACAAATTAGCCTACTGATTCTTTAGTTTAGTTGTGGGTGTGGATAATGCGGAGGGCCCCCTTGGGTGTAAGTGGCACCATCCCAAAGGCAGGTAGCCTGGAAGGGATAAAAGGGAGAGGCAGGCTGCTGCTGCTTCTTCAATACCGTGTGGCTTTCCTGCCTTCTGCCCGCCATGAACAGTTTCTTCTCTGCGGTGCCCCTCTGCCGCGCCATTCTGCCTTAGAGCCAGCCGACTGTGGACTAAAACCTCTATACATCATGAGCCAAATAAGCTTCTCCTTTAACTTGTGGATGATGGATATTTTGTCCTAGCAACAAAGAAAAGCAAGTAAGACAGGCACAAGTCACCACGTCCGGTTAGTTAATTCCTTCAAAGTGAAATGAGGAAAGGCTTTGCTAAGAGCTCTGCTACCTACTTTGATTTTAAAAACATCTCTAGAGGGTTTCAAATAAATCTTTTTAAAATGACCTAGTTACATATCTGGGAATGTGTGCTTCTGGGAACTTTAAGCAACAAGCTTAAAAGCTCTTAGAAATTCATCATATTCCAAGGTTTCCCTCCAAGGCTGCTACTCCCACTCACTTAGGTCAAGGCAACTTCTCTCAAATATCTCTCACTTTTCCGATTTTCTTTAACAGAATTCCTAACGTCTCTGAATGTGGAAAATAAATATCCTTGTGGCTGAGCGTGGCGGCACACATCTTTAATCCCAGCGCTCAGAAGGCTGAGGCAGGAGAATCACCATGAGTTCCAAGCCAGCCTGGGCTACACAGTGAGTTCAAGGCCAGCCTGAATTACGGAGTGAGACTCTGTCTAAAAAGAAAAAGAAAGCCGGGAAAGAGACAGAAGGAAGGAAGAAAAAATATCCTCGTGAGCCTTACCGTGTAAATCTTTCTGGAGGTTTGTGCCCTCAGAAAATCCTGGTGAAGTGCGGACTCTTTGGTTTTACGTCCCACTTTCCTTTCTGCAGTCAAAGAGAAAAAGAAATAGAAGAGTTTGGAGACAGAGATGACAGTGTAAGGAGGAAGTGAAAATGACAGGGCTCACTTCTGTCTTCAAATTAAACACAGCTCCAAAAAAAGAAACACCAAGTTGGGCACGATGGCACATAACCTGGGAGGCTGAGGCAAGAGGATCACTGCGAATTTAAGGTCAGCCTAGGCCACACAGCGAGTTCAAAGCCAGCCTGAACATCAGAGCGAGACACTGTCTCAAAAAAACAAAAACAAACAAACGGACAAAAAAGAAGCAGCAACAAAGGTAAGGACACAGGGTTAAAATTTTAGATGATTTATGACAAATACATTCTGTGAGAGTTAAAACTGGTGGTAAAAGCAAAGGACATTACCATGGGAGGAAATGGAAATACAGGAAAAGAGACAGACATCGAAACAGTGAGCGTAAAGAAGGGACACAATGACCTATATTATGAGATGACAGCAAAGCCTGAGCAGACAGAAAGTAAAGACATACAGGTTGAGGACTTCCTAATATCTGAGACCTTCTGAGGTGAGGTCTCCTCATTACAAACAGTGAGCTTGCTGCTCAGAGTCATTCTCCAGGAATACGCCCCTTCGAGAGCTCCTCCCTCCCCTGTCCTTAACTCTTTTTGTTGCAACCAAGAGATAAGGCTGGGTTTGAGGAACTCACATCCTGTACGTGAAGAGACTTTCACAGAGTGGAAGAGTTGATGGGCCTGCCTTCTCTAGATTCAGAAAATAACAGCCCTGATAAAAATAATGCAACGATTTTAAGAAACATGCTAATATCCTTTCTGCCTTGTCCCCCAAAATTGGTGTCTCTGGCCACTGAAACCTAAACCCAGGCTTATGTTCATGATTACAAAACACTAAGGCTTTTATCTGAACAGAAAATAAAGTACATGGGCTGGTGATTTAGCTCAGTGGTGCTGCCACCTGCCTCGCAAGTACAAGGTCCTGAGTTCGATCACCAGTTCCAAAAAAAAAGAAAAGACAGTGCATGTAACAGAAGTGTTCATTTTCATGGGGGAAATGACCATATCTGTGAATTTCTTTGTGTGTGCGTGTGTGGTGCTAGAAATGGAACCTAAGGCCTTGCCCTGCTAGGAAAACACTCGACTTCTGAGCTATACACCCAGCCTGCACAACTGTGATCCTGAAACATTACAGTGCATCAGATCCGTCTGGAGATCTTGCAATAACGGAGTCGGCAGAGCCCAATTGGTATGTCAAAGATGGACACTGAGAACGTACACGTCCAACAGTGATAGTCACGTGACGTTCCTGATTTCAGACCACATTTTGAGAACTGCAATGATAGATCAAAACCTATCATAGCAGGGACCACATCTTGGTTATGTCCCACCGTATCCACAGCTGACATCACTGATCCTGCGACACAGTAAGTACTCAGCATGACCTGTTTCCTAAGAGGCTACAGGAATGACAGCGGTCTTACCTACTGCGGCCAGGTTCTGGTAGTTCTCCAGCATCACGTCACTGGACAGGTTTCTCTGAGTTGGGCCCAGTAAAGCCCGCTCCTCCTGGGTGAAGTCCACGGCCACATCCTCGAAGTTCACCGAGTCCTGTATCATCACGCACAGGCTTGTTTGAGCCAAATAACACATCCACCACCCAAGTTCCCAGGAGAATGAAGAAGTAACACAATGGCCGCATAGCGTTCTGAGGCCCCCCAGCTGTCTACCCAGGGTTCGGTGTCCCAAGGAAGGGCACGATGTGGCGACTCTCTTCCCTGTGTCTGCACTGACTCAACGTGGATCTTCCTCTGATCACATGGCTCTGACAGCCTTTCTTGAACGTGATCTTATCACAGTGCAACTGGACTAGATGCTCATTTCACCTCCCCCGAGAGCAGCACACTCTTGAGCACACTGTAGATGCCTGATAAACGTAAGGAATGAATACACTCTTGAGCTCAGCAACATCAGAAACATGCAGTCAGCACCACGAGGCAAGATCGGTTAGTAAATATGAAGTATTGGAAGGCGTTCAAAGCAATCCCTCACCCGGTGGCTCCTCTCTCTGGGGAAATCTGACGAGGGACCCGGGTCCTTGAGTGAAGGTTGATTTGCTTTAAGGAGGCCTGGGAAGCAGAGGGCAGTGGGCACACCTGTAGTCTCAGCTACATGGGGGACAAAGCTAAGAGGATAGTTTGAGTCCAGGAGTTTAAGATCAGCCTGGGCAAAAGAGCAAAACCCTAGGTCTTTAAAATATGAATGGATATGGACAGACAGACAGACAGACAGACAGACAGATGCTGGGTGTGGGGGCAGTGCACTTGGGAGGCTGAGGTGATTACCATGACTTTAAGGCCGGCCTGGGTTACACAGTTTCATTCAACATCAGTGTCACCTACATACCAACACCCTGTCTCAAAGACAATAACAGGTAATAGCAAGACCCCATCTCTTAGATAGATGGATGACAGACAGACAGACAGACAGACAGACGCGTACATGCTCTGGAAATGATTCCAAGTAGAAGGAAGTCTGTTCCCCCAGTGGATCAAGTACACGATTGTGTAGATTCGCCAGGCAATCAGCCCTCTTGTTTTCGGCCTCTGTCTTTCCTTCATGAAGGCAGACTGGGTCCCTCTAAAGAAGACTGCATGGAAAAGAAAGAAGACAAAGAACTAAGAGTTGACCGTACTTCCCACACTCACCTGCCTGGAAGTTACTCCATCCTAGTTCCAACTTCCCATATATACCTGGCTGAGGACATCACTTAGTAGGACAGCGCTCGCCCAGCTTACAGGAGGCCCTGGCTTCAATCTCCACTACCGCAAATCAAAAACAACTGCAAAAATGCAAATCCCCATACATCCCTGTACACTTATGAAAACTCCCACAAATACACTTTACTCTCATGAGATGCCAGAGCAATTGCCTCACACAGAGCCAGACACAGAGACTGTGTGCTATGCTGGCCACCAGGAAAAAGGTCACAGACTCGTGATCCAAAAGGAAAGTGACGCCCTGGGTAAATATTCGTACACGCCCATGGAGATAAAGCTCATGAAGCCAAGTCAGGTGGCACCAAAACATCCGTGCAAGGGCTCACTTCTGCACATCCTAACTGAACCAGCAGCCTGGCTGCCTGTGCCCAGGCCTACAGGCTCCATATTGCGCTCTAAGGAGAACTTAAACCAGAGTCTCTGGAAGACCACAATGGACTCAGCACAGGAGGAAACGGTTACCACCCTCCCTGGGAGGCTGAGGGCACCATGGGCCTGAACACGCCTTTCCTTGACCCAGGGTGACTTCAGGACAGCTTGCAAACCTGCACGGAAGCGGCAGCCTCCACTCCCCTTTATTCAAAGTAGAGTCCTGTTCACATCACCATCGATCAACATGGTCAACTGCTAATACTCCAACACCAATCAATATACAGATGGTGTATGTGACAAATCACTGAGACAATCTGACAATCACACTAGAAACACCAATCTGCACTTACGGAGAACTGGAGGCTGAAAGTTGCACGAGGAGCTTTATGGACACGAGATCACTTCACATATTCCTACTGGCTTGAGTGACCAGGGGTCCATGCACGACTGACCCCTCAGGCAGCCTGTACCGCCCCATGGGACTGTCCCACGCTGCCCAATGGGACACTCATGCATGCACCACCAGTGGTTTCCAGCCACCTGGCCGCAAGACACATGAATGACAGGCCGTTGTGAATGTGTCAATCACTGCAATGACCCTTTGTAAGAGATGTCGTTGTGCCTAGTAAGCAGCCCGATTTTATACCCAGTTAAGAGGACTTCAATGCAGTTACATTTGTCACTAACACCTGATCTACCGTGGTGGTTGTTATAGGACTGATGCTTCTTATCCAGTGCCCGGTCTACTCTGGTTGGTTTATAAGTAGAGGATCCTTGTCTGAAATGCTTTGTGATAAAATAGATAGATAGGCATTTCAGTTTCCAGAGTTTTTCAGGTTCTGGAATCTTCACATAAATTTTACCAGGTTCAGCCACGCATTCAAAAAGCTGTGGACTTCAGAGCATTTTGGATTTCAGATTTTCAGATTGGGGATGCATAACCTACACTTCTCAGTGTGACCAGAGGTCACTTTATTCAACATAATGGTCACTAGCCACATGTATTATGGAACCTGGGACAGAACAACAGTGAGACCTTGTTTTATTTAAAAAAAAAAAAAAGAAGCCAGGCGTGGTGGCGCACGCCTATAATCACAGCACTCAGGAGGCTGAGGCAGGAGGATTGCTGTGAGTTCAAGACCAGCCTGGGTTACATAGTGAGTTTCAGGTCAGTCTCAACTACACAGTGAGACCCTGTCTCAAAAAAACAAAACAAAACAAGCAAACAAAAAAAGACTGAACAACAACCATGGGGGTCAGGGATGTAGCTCAGTGGCACTGCACCTACCTGGTAAGCGCAAGGTCCTGAGTTTGATCCACAGTACGAGAAAAAAAACAAAAACAAAAAAAATGGGACATCAAGCAGCAGGTGGCCTGAGCTTCCTGCCACGACCTGGGTGGTATGTGACACAGCAAGGCATACTGGGCAGCAATCTGTCATCAAACACAGATGGCACAAAAGACACCAGGCTGAGACAGGTCCGGGAGGAAGTGCTCATCTACCGGTTTGATTAGTGCCAAACTGCCCAAGGAAAATTAATCCTGGCATACAAGAGACAAGGATCAAGTGTTCGAACACCAACCGCTTCTACAATGCCTCTGTGGCTACCGCAAGCCAGATGGACTAGCAGACACCTATAATTCCAGCTATCGCCAGTTGGGGGCCAGCTTGAGCAACTCAGTGAGACCCCATCTCAAGATAAAAAATAGAAAGGGCTGGCAATGTAGCTCCATACAAAGGCCGCAGGTTCCATCCCCAGAACCACACAAACACACACACACACAAACACACACACACACACACACACACACACGCAAAGGTAGTAAACCCTGGACATGTGAATATCAACCACAGCCTCAATACCCTTTACAGAAACAAGAAATGCAGCAGCTTTGCCTATTTTCTCTTCCCTTGGTAAATGTGTGTGTTTCTTCATATGCATGCATTTATTTACATTAACTAACCGTGCGATCCGAAGTCCTTTCCACTTTGTTTCACCTGCGACCAGCGGCTGAACTCACAATTCTGTCTCTAGGTAACACGTACTAAGACTGTGACTAAACATGAAAAGTAATTGATCGTCTCAGATGGCTACACAGGACTGTCGGGAAGGTGCATCCTGTCACTGTGCGGAAAGCTAAGGGCCTCTTCTCTTATGCCTTAAAATCCAGACTCATCCCATTATTATGAGGACACCCAAATGTGTGCACAGCCGGAGTGGGCTGAGCCAGGCCCCAACGGATGAATCTTGCTCTGATTTCACTTTCAGTACCCGCTATGGAATCAAAGATCATATTATTGATTTATATTATATGTCTATCAACAGCATACTCAGCTTTGTACACCTAGGTGTGTCGTGATGTGTTTTTTCGTTGTTGTTTTTTTTTTTCCCAACACAATAGCTGCCTTCACATCCATTTTCAGGCCAGACGTGAAGTTATTTGAACTCAGCCGTACCCCATCACCCCAACCTAGTTCAAGTTCAAGTTTCCCCCGCTCGGACAGCTGTTTGCTACCCACCTTTCTTATTCTTCATCTACTGACCAAAAACCCCACATCCGCAGAAAGGGGCCGCAGTTCAACTAACGGTTCAAACCAGAGTCATATAAGTCAAGTCCCCTCTTCCCTGATTGTCTCTTTTGAGACACAGGAGAGCAGTTTGTTTTGTTGAGCTCAAAACTAATACGAACCCGAAGGCTCTAATGGCTGAATGAGGCATTTGGTCCAACCCTGAGATAACGGCACATCAGGGTCTTGAGCTCCCAGAGAGACTGAAGCCGCCTGATTGTAAAAGTGGCAAGATAAAAAGGACCACTGCCAACATTTGCTCCCCTGACCCTGAACACCGCCTTCCTAGGGGCTAGAACGGATAACTAGGCGAATCTTAAAGGTAAACTCCCCAACCGCAAAGAACTGTTACGTCTGGGTTGAAAAGACGAACTATTTTGTGACCACGATGTGAACAGTGAGAATGAAACGTAACCACCCACATGAAGTCAAGGCTGTGAAACCCTATAAAAGGTGGAGCTGTAACCCAGTGCGTCGTCGATCCAGGCACGGCTTATGTGCGACCGACCCTTATCGATGAGTACATTTGTTATTTTACTTCCATTCTGCCGCCTCTCTGTGTGTCCCTTACTGATTCCTTCCGTGACATTTGGTGCACTGGCCAGGAAGGAAGGGGCTGACACAGCCCGTGTTGGGCCTTGACCCGAGTCCCGCGGCCCGGGGATTTCCTGGGTTCCCTTCCTAGGACTCGGGGGCCAGCTCGCCGGCAGCAGATCGCTCAAACCTGGAGCACAGAGAGCAGAAGGGAGGCGAGTGAGGGAAATCGTCCGTCTGAATGGTGAGATCCCCTGGGCTGCTACCTAGTTTGTCCTGCTTTGCTTTGGTTCTTAGTGGAACGTTTGGGTGGATCACAGATTGGAGGCCTGATTACCCTCCTTTCTCTGCTATTC